ATGTTGTTAAATGCATAAATAAAATTACTTACCTGTTAGTGTATTATCCATGCATAAGCTTATGGATGTACGGATAAGTACCAACAATATTTTAGGTAAATTCTTGATTATAATTGGTACAACAAAGACCAATCCTTGCCATAAAGAATGCCAAAAAGAGATGATTATCTAAGTATGTTTCAAGCTAGGAAACACATATAAGCCTAAAAGGTAGACACCGAATACAAGCCGGACACATAAAAAAATATGTCCGAATATTTTATATTTTGTTAAATATCCGGACATGCCTTGGATACGTATTCCATTCTTAGAGACTTTTAAGAAAGTTTTAGAAACAATGTTAAGTTGAAGTATAAATATTAGGAGTTGTTTGATAACTTTCAACAATATGATGGTAATTACATAATTACTTAGGGGAGCATCAAATTCGCACTTTGAATTTGGAACTGAAAGGTTACCATAATAATGCAAAAATGTTTTGACATATAACATTGCACTTGGTAGAAAATAAGATTACTTATCAAAAAAAAAAATGGTAGAAAATAAGATATTTAATATATGTGTAAATATACTTAGTAGAAAATATCAGGACGTGGTAGAATTTTTTCTTTAATTGCAAACATACTGACGCTCATAGGCTCATTTATATCTATCCACATATTTACTTGATATGAGAGCATATAAAGTTCAATATAAAAAAAAATGTAAATGTAGGCACGATGGGTTCAAAAAATTTCACTGTGCGACAAAAAGAGGGGCGAAGCCAGGATTGCAAAGTAGGGAGCTAAAGATAATAAGAAAAGGACAATGCTTAGCTACTCACCAGTGAGTAGTGTGAAGCTACTCACTCCTATGTGGTCCAATAACAAAATAACATATCACCTTTAATAATAAAATAATTCACATTTTTTTTCTGCTTTCTCGGATCAACCATTTAATAAATCGTATATAGTGTTTTTAGGTACGGATTATTTTATTTTTAAATGTAATGTGTTATTTTTGTATAGAATCATATAGGGGTGAGTAGCTTCACCCTACTCACCAGTAAGTAGCTAAGCATTATCTTATTTTTAATAAATAACTTTTACAATTCTCTTGGTGAGACCCAAAATCTCTATTTTTTACTTTGAAATGAATAAAACACAAATAAATAATAAAATGGTGTATTTTAAAAGTAATATTTTTCACTTTGAGATTTATTTTTTTTGGGTAGAAACTTTTACTTTGATTGAATTCAGCAAAATAATTATATATTTTTTGAGAGTTATTGTTGAAATTCAAAATGCCCTCCAACTTGCCTACTCACCAGTGAGTAGAAAACTTATACTTACCAAACTTATACTCACCACGTATGTAACGCATTGCTAAACTGACAAGTGTCCTTACATTTAAAAAAATAAATAATTTAATAACTATATGGGTTAAACCCAAATGAATATAATTCTCTCTCCTCTCGCTTTTTCACGTTTAATTGCAATTACTATATCTCTCATCTAGGTGGCAATCAACCCCCTATCAGGTAATTTTCAAATTGGAGGGTCGTTCCAGTTCCCATGATGTTTCACTGTCCAGTCAATAGTAATCTCATTCCTCATTCATGCATAGATAGAGTCCCCATTTAATTTCAAGTTTTAGCTGTTTTTTTTTTTTTTTTTTTTTTTTTTTTTGGCAGCAACTTTATAAAAAGATGGACAAGGGCCTTGAGTGGTATATGAATTCATTTCTTTGTGCGTTGGTATTGACCATGTCAAAGGAGCAAATCTTATGATAGATTTGTTTTTTTTTTTTTTTCTTTTTCTACACATCATTAAGTGTTTTTGTGCAGAGCCAAACTTAGAACGCCCGAGTGTATGATTTGTTCCCTTGAGACCCTTTAATCACAGAACCAATAGGGCAGATTAATATGATGGATTGTTCTTAATATATGCACCACTTTTTTGTGTCTAAATTCTATGAACATTAGTATTTGAAAAGGCTTTGTGCCATTGTATCCTTGATTCAAAGTCAAAAAGATTTTTATTTGTTTTAAAAAATTAAAAATCATTATATTAAAAAATTTATCCATTTCCATTATTATTATTATTATTTTTATTATGGTATGGGAAATTTGTATTACATTTTGATCTCTGTTTGGAGCCTTAAGTTTTTGGCTTGGTTGTATACTGAGCCCTCTGAGGACTACACTCCCACAGTGAAATTGACCCCTATGTTCTTGGTCATTTACCAACCTTTTTTGATGGGGGTCGATTGACACCCAGACGCCGAAGAGATATAGTAATTGCAATTAACCTTGACCAAACAAACACGACGTCGGAGTCCTCTCTCACTTTCCCATAAGCCCTTTTGCAAAGGGGTAAAGATGAGCCAAGACCCAAAAGCTAAAGAACACCCCTCTAATCAAACGTAAGAAAGAATGAGAGGAAAGGAAATTATAATTTGATTCGGATTCATTTGGGTTTAACCCAAATAGCTATTAAATTATTTATTTTTAAAAATAAATACGCCACATTCATGATGAGTATAAGTTTCCTACTCACTGATGAGTAGGCAAGTATTGTCCATTAATTATGTATGTGAGTAATTAATACTTGCCTACTCATCGGTGAGTAAGGAATTTCTACTGACTAAGTGTGTGGCATAATAAAATTATGACAAAAACAGTGTTTTGAGGGGTTAGTTGTGCTCTCTATGTTCTCAGAGTGGAAAATATGTAATTGATATGAAGAACCATTGCTAGAATCATAAAATGCTTCCGATTTGTGTTTTAAAAAATAATAATAATAAGTTCTCGCCCTTCTCTCGTCCAACTTAGGATTGTTGCAGTGAGAATGAGGATTACATTGGAAGTGGAGCTGAATAGGTATTTTAATAACATGATTTTTGTTTGTTTATACATATATGTATGTATATGTATTTATATTTGTATAGCTACGGTGAAATCCAAATTTTGATCTTTGGATTCCGAAGAACAAAAACAATATATTGTTTTAGGAAGATCTTGTTTTTGGAAGGTATTGTTTTAGGAAGCTTGAATCCTAGTTTTTCTCTACTTTAAAAGCTAATTTTGTACCTATGTATATACAAGTATGTGTATAGATATATATGGAGAGATATATATGGAGAGAAAGATGCAGTTAACCCGATTAAAATGAATTAAATACGTTCTGATTCTATTTTTGTTATATTTTATATTTTATAAAATTTGAAACATTTGTCATAATTTTATTATACCACCTATTGAGTCAGTAGGGACTCACTACTTACCGGTGAGTAGGCAAGTATTGTCCATTAATTATTACTTTTTATTTTACTTATTCAAATAATTTTTAATTAATTTTTTGGGTAAAGTGCAAACAACCCCCCTTGAACTATGTTTGAATTTGCAAATAACTCCCTTGAACTATATTTTATGCGTAAAACCCTCTAAACTATCTTATTTTGTTGCAACATACCCTAAGGACTATAATATATTTCATTAAATGACCATAATGCCCCTTCTTATTGAATTACATTTAATATATTTTTCTTATCTAAATAAATTATGAAAAAATTCATACTAATTTGATGAGATATTTTCCATTAAATTTGCATAAATTTACCTTTAATTTTTTAATTAATTGTTCTAAAAAAATTGTATTAATTAATTTTTTAATTTTTAATGGATATATTACATGAAAAGAAGGAATTTTTTCTAAAGTATTTTATTAATTTTTCATCAATATAATGTATGAAAAAAATGATTTTTTTTTTATTTTTTATTTTTACGATAAAGATGTTTAAATTGGTTATAATATGTTTTATTATAGCTAATAAAGTTTTAATAATAAGTTAATCAATTTAAAAAATAGTAGTTACAAATCTATTTATCGATTTTTTATTTTATTTTTATGATAAATTGATACTAAAAATAAAATTAAGGTAAATAGTATAATTAATATTTACATAAGAGAAAATTTAATAAAAATAATTTAATAAGAAATGAAAATTTCAATGAGAAAGGGTAAAATAGTCTATTGTGATTGATTTGTCCTTAATTATAACAAATCAATAGTTCAAGGGGGCAATTTTTAGTTCAGGGGAGTTATTTGCACTTAACCCTTAATTTTTGGATAAAGTACAATGACAATCTATGAGATTTGGCATAAGAACGCGAGATATAAGTTAGATTATTTTTTAATAACCCTCAAATTTGATAAAATTGACAAAGACATCCTGACAATAGTGAATTGACTTTATTACCCTTTGATATAAAATTGACAAATGCAATTAACTTAAATACCCTTAGATCAAATAGGTTTAAATAAGTTATCAGGTACAACCCATTTGAGAAACCCAATTTTTCTCTATCCTCACTCTTTTCTTCTTTTTTCCCTTTCAAACCCTAACCCAAACAAGTATATAACAAAGTGAAAAGAAAAAGCCCGATGATAACAAAGCTTCTCCTCCTTCTCTTTTTCTTTCTCCCTCTTTCTATATATATAGACACATGCGCATAAAGACATATATCACCACCACAAATTAGCCCCACTGCATATACCGCCACCGCATCATCATCATACCTCAACCGCCACAACCACCACTCCATCATGATCATTATCATCAGTTCATCATCGTTGTCATCATCATCAAATGAATAACGATGATGAGCAAGGAAAATGGAACTACCGAAAATGGACTGGCAAAAAGAGACCCAGTTTAGTGAGCTTACCCAACACCAGAGTACATAAGTCCTGTGAAAATACCTCGTGTTAGGGTTAACGGCGGCGATGGCAATGGTTATTCGGCAAGGGCGGCAGTGAGTTCTTTTGCCGCTCAGTTCATTCTCTCCGTCTTCGGTAATGACGTCAATGGAGCCTTATCTTGATCTATCCCATGGCGGCGATCGAAATTGGAGCCCTATTTTAATCTAACCCACAACGAAGGAAATGTGGGATTATGGCTTCAAGATGGCGGCTGGTTCTTCATGACGACGATGAATCTGGGGACACCGATGACGTCGAATGGGTTTGCGTGGGGACACTGATGAAGTCGAATGGGTTTGCGTGGGGACACTGATGAAGTCGAATGGGCTTGCGCTGGTGGGCAATCGAGACAATCGGAGTAGTTGTACTCCTCTCACTCCGATCGCCACCATAACGATGGTGGCGGAGCATAGTAATCCAATTCGCCTCCTACATAGGAGTTGTAGTAGTGTGGATGGGTTCGATTTGGGCGTAATAGGAAAGCGGGAGTGGTGGTGGCTTGTTTTAGCCGTAATAGGAAGGTGGAGGTGGTGGTAGGTGATCAAAGTCAGGCAGTGGTGGTGGTTAGTAGGTATAGAGGTGGATGTTGTGGCCGGCCGGAGCTTTGGGGGCCGGTCTAGGTGTATGGTGGTTTAGTGCTTACACAATAATACATATATAAATATATATATATATATATATATATGTGCATATAAATATAAATATATATATATATATATATAAATTGATAAGTGCTTAAATGTTGCACATTTTAGCACATAAACTAGGGTATTTTAGTCATTGTATCTATCTTATTTTCATGTTTTAGTTATAATTTATGTTTTTGTCAATTTCAGGTAAATAAGGTTCAAACGAACTAATTTTGCTTCACTAATGCCTTTTTGGAGTCAAGCAAAGACATTCAGAACAAGTTCAGAAAATGGCAAAAAGAGGTCGCAGCCCATTACTCATATAGTGTGTTTATTCTTCAAAAGCGGTCAATCTCGGGCCTTTGATGATGTTCCCAAAGATGAATAAGCAAACCAATTAGCCCGGAGCCAAAATGGAGCTAAATAGATTTAAAGAAAATTTCCAACTCTGGGGGATCGATCCCCCAGGGTGGGTGAGGGATCAATCCCCCACTATTCACAGAACTAAAAATGCCCTTGGGGGATCGATCCCCAAGGCTGTGGGATCCATCCTCCAGTACCTGGCAGCATTACAGGATTTTCTTATTTTGGACTTATTTTTGTAACTTATGGGCTTTAATAGGATTTGTTACTTAAGGCCCAGTGAGCTATTAGTTTAGGGTTAGTTTTTATTTTATTTAAGGAGTTTTTAATTTATTAATTAGGAGGATTTTAGGTTTTATTTTTTCTGTATCGTATTATTAAATTCTCTGGAAAACGCGAAAGAGGAAAACGAAGAACAGGCCAGGGTTAGGAAGAAAAGCTTAGAGATGATGAATCCAAGGATGGAGATTGTTCTGTTTTCAACTCCATCAACCATGAGTGGCTGATTCTTCTACTTAGGGTTGGACAAACCCTAAGCATGTAACCTATTCTTTCTCTCTTTTTACTTTTTGGGGATTAATTTATGTAATTAGTGTATAGTCTTGAACATTATGAATTAAATTCTTTCAATTGATTATCTGTATTAATCTCATATTGTCTTATGTGTGGTTGATTGATAAACAAATTTTACACATGAAATCTTTGTTAATTGATTCTTGTGATGGCTATGCATGGTATTGATTAGTTATAATTGTGTTTCAAATTGATGAAAAATTACTTCTATTTGATGGATGACACTACATGTTTAGGTTAATTTATTGTCTAATTAGTTTTAAATTCATGTTTAATTAGTTTAATTTAAGTTTAATTAATTTAATTGCAATTTAATTATTAGGTAAGTAAACCAACCATACTTATGTTTGAATTCCATACTTTTTGCCACAATTACATTATCCTCTAGATTTATGTGAGTTGAAATTGCTAATTGAATTGATGGATCATGCTTTAAATTGGTGAATTGTTTTACACTTAGTTAATTGTCATTAGGTAAACGATTCAAGCTTTAAATTGATGCTTCATACTTTTCATTGCAATTGTTAGCCACATTTAGATTATACATTTTATTTCCCCAATTAAGTGAAAGTGAGTGAGTTAGGAAATGTACTTAGTGGTGAATCCTATACCCTAAGTCTCTTTCCAATCTTTTAAACTCCATAATTTTATTGCAATCATGTAGCTTAAAATTAGTCTAATCACAAAACCAAACCTTTTTAGCAATCACGTAAGCACTAAAGTAGAATTCAATTCTGGAAAACCTATAATTGTTTATATCTCTTGGGATGATCCCTGCTCACTTCATACTCCATAGTATAAGTGTTTAGTGGTTTTATAAATTTTAAAATATGGTGCCCACTTGACATTATTTCTAAACCTAAAGTGTTGTGCATTATTTTGTGCACACACTGGATCGCACCATAGTTTTGGCACCGTTGCCGGGGATCAAACGGTTTTTAAAAGAATTGAATTAGACATTAGTTCTTTGTTGATTGTTTACTTTTAAGTCATTTTAATTTTTATTTTCTCATTTGATTTGTCAATTAGGTACTTGAAGGAAAGTGGAGCAAACACTGGACTTGGAAGCAATTAAAAATTTTTTGAAGTTGCTTAAAGACCATTTGTAAGTTTCTCTTTAATTTTTGTGCTTAATTGTTTACTGTCTTGCATGCTTTGGATAGCCCAAATGGAGGCTTAAGTCTAAGCATACCTTCTTGTAGAAGGCATCAGCCTGTGTGGAGGCATTTATTTGTTTTAAGTGCATTGATATTATTGAAGAGTTTGGGAACATTGTATGTGGAGGTTGAAAAATTAAAGTGTTGGTGTGTTGACTTATCCTAGTGCATACATGGTCGTAGATCACTTAATCGTCCTATTGCTCCTATAAATCAAAATCTCGAAATTTTCCTTCGGCATTTAAGAGCTAGTATTAGGGATAGTCATCCTAATCTTCCAAATTTAGATCTACCATCACCTTTAATGGAAGACCCAATAAATCCAATTGCAGATCCCATTGAAGATCTTGGTCAAGTGGATCATAATGGTATGCACTACCCACCACAAGTTCATATTGTGGATCCTCAAGGTGTGCATCCACCCTTGGGAATGCCACGACCAATCAATCCTGTGGTGCAACAACCTAATCTAGGGATGCCAAGGCCAAATGTTGTTCCCCCAATTGGTGAGCAACAACAACAATATGTTCAAATGGCATACCTTCAACAAGGCCAAATGGCATATCATCAGTAAGGTCAAATGCCATATCCTCCTCTCAATCCTCCAATGGTCCTTAGGGATTGTTACACTCCAAATCAATATAATGCACCCACTTGCATTCAATTGCCAAATTTTTGTGCTTATCATTATGAGATTAAGGCTTCCACCGTTAACATGTGCCCCCTTTTCTTTGGGTTGAGCAATGAAGAGCCTTATAAACATTTAGATGAGTTCTTGGAAGTTTGTTCCACCGTGAAAATCACGGATGTTCCAGAAGAAGCCCTAAAAATGAAGCTTTTCCCTTTCACTCTTGGGGATAAAGCTAAATATTGGTTTAACAACTTGCGGTCAAATACACTCACCTCTTAGGCACAATTGCAACAAGAATTCCTAAAAAAGTAATATCCCGCGAGTCGAACTGATTCAATGAGAACTTCCATTCGTGAATTTAAACAAGAAGAAGGAGAACCCCTTCATGAAGCATGGGAACGTTTGAATAACTTGCTACGGAAGTGTCCACATCATGACATTCCTAAGTGGCAATTAGTTCAATGTTTCTTTTCAAGTTTATCTGATGCTAATAAGGGCATTGTTGATGCTTCTTGTGGCGGAAGCTACATAGAAATAAACGAAGATAAAATTTGGTATCTTTTCGAAAAAATGAGTGAAAACTCAATGCATAGATCTTTATCTTCTAGGGGTGGTCACTTAGCAAATGTAGGAGGAAAGAAAGTTCTAAATCAAATAGACTCCTCCATGGAAATTGCCGCTGAGGTCAAAAATCTTACTCAAAGGTTTGATACATTCTTTTTGAATCAAGAACTGGCAATTCAATCTTATCTTCATCATTCCAATGAAATGTGCATGACTTATTCTAGTTACACTCACCATACTTCAAATTGTCCTCTAGGATAAATAATTATACCATGTGAGTCTCAAGAACAAGTAAATGCAGCTTTCATTCATTAAGGGAACAACCCTTATTCCAATACTTACAATCCGGGGTGGAAAAATCATCCAAACTTTGCATGGAGAAATCAAAGAGACGGTGCAAACCCTCCTCAAACTCAAGGTTACCAAGCAAAGTATGTTCCCCCACATCTCCAAAATCAAAATCAGAATTCTCAAGGTTACCATCCTTCATTCTATCCTCACAATGTGAATCAATACTCTCATCCTCAAGCATCAAATTCTCAATCGTACTCTAATCCAAATCAAGCGCCTCCTAAGAGTTCCGCTTTTGAGGACAAGGTCTTGTAAGCCTTAGGTGATCTTCGAAAAGATAATCAATTGTTTCATTCTCACTCTCAATCAATTGCAAAGCTTGAAGCTCAAATCGGGCAATTAGCTAATTCTTTAAATGTGAGAGAGAAATGTAAGTTGCCTAGTCAAACTGAAACCAATCCTAAGGGGCAATTTATGGCGCAAGCAAGTCCTTCATCGGAATTTCCTGGAAATGAGCAAGTTCAATCAATTACTACCTTAAAGAGTGGTAAGAAAGTGGATAATAAGGTAGAGATACCTAAGGAGGATAGTAAACTGAAGCAACCAAGTGGTAGCATCCGTCCCATTCCAAATCCTATTCCTTTTTCTTTCGATGCTAGTGGTTCCAAAAGGACATTCCATCATCTTCATCATCATCTCCCCAATTAGAGAAGTCTTATGAGCCAAAAGCTCAATTTCCTCATGCTTTAAGAGAGACTTCATCATTTGGGAGACAAGAAGGAAAAATTCATGATATGATGGAAGTGTTTAAATAAGTGAAAATCAATCTTCCTCTTCTAGATGCAATTAGGCAAATTCCACCATATACAAAGTTCTTGAAGGACTTGTGCACACAAAAGAGGAAGAGCAAAGGAAATGACCTTAAGAAAGTGCTTTTAACGGAACAAGTGAGTTCCATCATTCTGTCTAACACTCCTCCTAAGTTCAACGATCCGGGTGCTCCGACCATTTCTTGTGTTATTGGAAACCAAGAGATTCGTAGAGCACTCCTTGATTTAAGAACAAGTATCAATCTCATTCAATACTCTGTTTACTTGCAATTAGGATTAGGGGACTTGAAGCCAACATCGGTAGTAATCTAACTAACCGATAAATCAATTAAGAAACCGAGGGGAATTGTTGAAGACATCTTGATTAAGGTTGATAAATTTTATTTCCCGGTTGATTTTGTGGTACTTGATACTGAGCAAGTCCCTAATCTTACCAATCATATTCCAGTTATCCTAGGAAGACCATTTCTTGCCACTGCCAAT